CAAATCAAGAAATTAGTTATTTTTGGAAAGTAAACTGAGCATTTAAAGAATAATTTAACACTGTTTACTGTGACAACAGCACATTTGAAACAGAACATTTTCGCGTTGTTTTAATTTCGTTTTTATGGACTTACTGCGAAATTAAAAACCACGCTGATATTTTCTACAGTAGACTAAAAAGACATGTTTCAAGAGATTATAGACCGATTTCTTAAAAATTGTTAGAAACAAAACCAATTTTTTTTTACATAAAAGCCATTCGAACAGTAACAGCGAGGGACTTCCGCGATCGCGTCCATCGCTACGAACCGGTAACCGGTAGTCGATCCGCCGGTGCCCAATTCACGATCTTTACGTGCCAAAATTTCAACTTTGTCTGGCGCTTAATTGAGGTGTAAAATAAAAAGTTTTTGTGGCACTGGCGCCTAATTGAAGGTGGCGCTTAACTGAAGACAAATACGGTATACAAAAATAAGTGTGACCTCTAAAACTGCGGAACATAAACAGATCATTCTTTTTTCCTTCATTCTTTTTTCCTTGGCCTAATAAACTCGTAATAATATTGTCCATCCATCAGGCTCAACAACAAACCCAGGATGCAGCTCTTAAATTTGAGAGAGCCAATAGTATGTTGGCAGCGGCCAAAGAGATGGTGGATGTAGCAGAGCATGGTTTGGTCGTGGAGCGACGTACATTTGACGCAAACTGGCAGGAAATGCTGAATCATGCTACGATGAAGGTAGAGTGACCTTTAACCCATGAACTTTGATACAAGTACTTGACCTAATTTGTGTGAATTAACGCTGTCTGTAGAATGTATGAATCATGGATGGTAGGTGGCAATGTTTGTGTTTTTTTAGGGTAAGTTAAGTAGGCCACTACACTGGCTTGTAATATGCAATGGAAAAGCGCTAACTGCCACCCATAGGTGTTGCAACTAGTATAAATAGGCAACCCTAATCAATGCTCAAATGCTATCTTCGCTGAAGGGATGATTCTGTGAAAAAAAAAATCTAGCGAATATACTTTTTTAGCTCTGCTGTCGACTTTGTCGAGCGGAGCTTATCATATGAGTGATTGTCCGTCGTCCGTGTCAATGTTTTACATTTTCGACTTCTTCTTGAAAACTACAAGCCTGAATGCTTTGATACTTGGTGTATATGTACCTTGGGTAGACCTCTTAGGTTTGTTCATTTCATGATGATATCTTTAATTCTCTAATTTTGGTGAATATTTTTGTCATTTTTGGTAAAAAAGTGATATTTTTGACTTCTTGTTAAAAACCGCAAGTCCAATTGCTTTGATATTACATATATAGGTACTACATGTGGTCCTCTCTAAGATTTGTTCATTTCATGATGATATCTTCAATTCTCTAATTTTGATGAATATTTTTGCAATTTTTGGTAAAAAGTGATATTTTCGACTTCTTGTTAAAAACCACAAGTCTGATTGCTTTTATATTACATATATAGGTACTACATGTGGACCGCTTTCAGATTGTTAATTTCGTGGTGATATCGTCAATTATCTAATTTTAATGATTATTTTTGTCATTTTTGGTGAAAAGTGATATTTTTGAATTCTTGTTAAAAACCGCAAGTCCAATTGCTTTGATATTACATATATAGGTACATATTGTACATAAAGTCTACATATTGTTCATTTTCTAATGATAAAAGCGGAGCTATCTCAGCCGAAATGCTGCTTGTTTCTATATTACACATTAAACTCATCAAAAATCAGTGAAAATAAATTCCATACAAAACGCCCAAAAAGCCTTTTCAGTGAAAATTAATTCCAGCGAAAATAAAGTATTCCACAGTATAGTGTTAAAGGGGAAACGTTCAAGCCCAGGGATTACACCAAAGAATCATGGGACACTATTGTTCATGTTGTTTACAATGTTAATCTATCTTTTGCTATCCATTGTCATTTTAATCCAGAAAGTAAATTTGTTGTGAGATTAGGCTTAACCAGAAGTGCCCCTTTATAATATAACACCATTCAGTCATTGTAAAGGTGCTATAATTACAGTGTATTACCAACGGGAGGTCAAAAATAGTATCTTTGATACTATTTTCCATTATTCTGCATCAATGACAGTAAATTTTGAATTAATACGAATGGTACTTTTTTTTTAAGGTGAATGAAGCGGAGAATGACAGAGCTGTAGTGGAAATAGAACACCAAAGAACCGCAGCGTGGTTTGACGAAGCAGAGAGAGCAGTAAAAAAATTACAAAAGTCTTTGAAAAAAAATATCAGTAAATCAAGGTACTGTAAAACGCTTAATTTTCACTGCTAGAAATTCTTGGATTTGATGATTTTATGGCATTTGTAAAAAAAAAAAAAAAAAAAAAAAATTGTGAAAGTTGTTCCATGACGTAGAATTTTCACTGCTACAAAATTTCAGTTATTCCTCACACGTTCAGGAAGTATCCCACAATGCACTGCTAATTGATACATCTTTTTTTTTTTTTACATTCATAGAACATATTTTGAAATGAAGGCACAGTTCAACCATCAGTTAGAGGTGAATATATTTTGGTGTTTATAATTTATTTCTCAATATTCATGCTGATTGGTCAGAGTGCAGTCACATGACTTTACTAATAGTCAGTAGTCAAGACTGGTACTGGTTTTTATGAAAAAAAAAATAGTGCCAATTCTTGTCACCATTTGCAAAGGAAAGAAAAATTATGCCTATTCGGCCCCAAATTAACAAAGAAATTTTAGAAAAATTCATAAAAAAAAATTTGACCCCAAATCAACAAAGAAATTTTTATAAAAATTCATAAACATTTGCAAAATGGGTCGAGATTTGTAAAGAAAAGAAAAATTATGCCTATTTGGCCCCAAATTAAAAATGAAATTTAAAAAAATTCATAAAAAAACATTTGCAAAATGGGTCTCAAAAATGTTAGCATTCAAAGGGTTGAAATAAAGTGAAACAATATTTCCCATGATGCATAGTATGCATTAATTCCATGACTAGCTTGAAATACTGTAAAATGACTAATTTTCACTGGGTTTAAATTTTGCTGATTTACCATTCCAGGCATGTTCATTGGGTTTTAAATTCATGGTTTTATCATTTAGATAACGTGTTCTATGCTCAATTCCACATATTCACTGGGTTTTAATTTAGTGCATTTTCCAGTCAGCGAAATAAGCAAAATTAAAACCCAGTGAATAATTAACCCTTTTACAGTAGGTGAGTTATATCGCCCTCAGTCGGTGTCCGTGCATAAATGGGGGTTGATTTCCAGCTCACACAATTTTTTTCACTAGTTTCCATGGTTCCCAGCATTCTTATGAACTATCGAACACTTGTGCGGTGAAATCAACGTTCTCATGCAGATGTAATTCAAACATTTGTACACCAGTGCAAGGTTCTAGGGTATGATGTCATACTTTACCCATAATCCTTTGCTTGAGAATCAAGACTACATAATACTAATGAAAAGTTGAATATCCAGAGAATGAAAAGTGATATAAAAAAACTGTAAATTGCATTCTCCTACATTTGTGGACCTTTTTTTTTTTGAGGAGCCATTATGTTGTTTGGCCTGACTTTTCCTTTAAATAACATATTTTTTTATTAAAAATTTTGTTTTTGCCAGGAACAAAAGAAAAAAGTCACTGAATTAGAAAAACGAGTCAAAAAATCGAAATCTTCGTATTCCATGGCGCTGAAGAACCTGGAAGCAATTAGCGACAGGATTCATCGACGACGAGAGACAAAGCGGCTGAACAAAGAAAAACGAGGTGCCGGTGTTGGAGCCGAAGCACCAAGCATCAAGACAAACGAGTCTGTGTCATTGATGAATGACGACGCTGAACTGTCATTTGAAGACGCAATAAAAGAGGAGTTCATTCTGTTACCGCACGCAAATACGCTAGAGAGACATAAAGTTCCTCATCCACGTGTGAGGGCGCTGTCTGAACCGCATGAGCCGATTGATCCACATTCAATCATGAATGCGTTTGAGTCAACGGAGCATCTCAACGACGCGGGATGGGACTCTCTGAGCCAATCAACACAGGGAGATGACTTGGAACGGGAGGAATTTATTGAATTTTGCGCCGAGAAGCCGCAGACTGTAGATGTTGGTGTCGGAACTGAAACTGACCCAGAGGTCCCCGAGAACAGTACGGGGGACGACACTCAGTGCGTAGATGCGACTTCCAAACCTCTCAGGAACGTGGCAGTCACGAATAATAGCGTCGAGAATGTATCATCTCAGGGTGTTCGAAGCGCTTCAACGTCTACACAATCTGAAGCAAATACCCCATCACAGACAATTGGAGGCAATAACGCTGAAACTTCACCTTCTACCCTCGCCGAAGGAAAGGTCAGCGGCAAAGAAGAGGAAACTCACGATACTTATTTGTAGGCTTCTTAATTGGTAAAGAGTGCATTGTAATGTACGCATGTAAGTTATTTTTGAGTGATACGGAACACTTTAAATTTGCTCACGGTAAAAACTCTACTGTAATTTTTGCTGTTTAATTTAAGTGACTGCCATTGACAATGGCGGAAGATACAGTAAAACTCAAGTACAACATCGCATTCAACGGGCTCAAAAGTGGTACAGTCATGTTCCCGAATATTATTGATGTGTTACATGTTACAGATGTCTCTAAGGCCAGGAAAAAAAAAAAATGAGGCGGCAAGGCGTTTTTTTTTTGTTTTTTTTTGAATACTGAGCTAAAAGGGGGGAAATTTGAGACAAGTGCAAGTACAAGCACATTTTGGAATGCTTTAGAAGGAAAAAAACGTCTGAGGCGTATTGTCCAAAATGATGCACACGGAAATGAGAAACAGATATTATTTTTCTCAGCCTAACTATGTGACAGCTCACATTCAAACACTGTATCTCACTAAGTGGGAGACGATGTGCATTCTTTTGCTGCATTCACCTATTTATTGGCTTCTAAGTGATAGAGAATACATTGTATAACTGTGAAGTGTGAATGTAAGTTATTTTTGAGTGATAGTGTACACCTTAGAATTGCTTACAGTATAACTCCAAATCTTTAATTTAATTTTATTTAAGTGACTGCCAGTTACTGGCTAGTTATGCAAACCTTTTTTATTTTAAGGGACTGCCGTCGACATTGGTGGCAGCCATAGGACACTGTAAAACTTGAACTTGAATTAGGAAATACCTGGCTTGCTAATGAAATTGACATACTGAAAGTTACTTTATTTTTGCTCAGAATGTATTTTTGCAATTTGTTGCTAAAGGGATAACTGAGGGATTTTAAGTGAAAATAAAATACAGTGAAAATACTTTATTTCTTATATTTTACATTCAACATTCAACTCGTCAAATATCTGTGAAAATTAATTCCATTCAAAACAGCCAAAATGTGTTTTCAGCGAAAATTAATATTGAAAGAAAACTGACCAAACTTGTGTAGACTATGACAAATAACTTTCAGTAAGCAAGTTTGGTACTCCTGAAATGGTGTTAATATCTCATACATTATTATGTAGTGTTGTTAATGAACTTGAATAGGTATAGTTAAGAAGTTTAACAGGGTATACTGTAAAATGACTAACTTTCACTGGGTTTAAATTTCACTGATTTACCATTTCAGGCATATTCAGTGGGTTTTAAATTCACGGTTTTATCATTTAGATAATGTGTACTATGATAAATTTTACATATTCACTGGGTTTTAATTTAGCGCATTTTCCAGTCAGCGAAATAAGCAAAATTAAAACCCAGTGAATAATTAACCCCTTTACAGTACTCTATTGTGTAGAGTGCGCCCTCTAAGTCAATATGACATGCCACTAATGCAAAAAAGATTTTACTTTTACTGAATCATTCCTTCTGTAAAAATAAATTTCAGGTGAGTATTTTACAGTACTAGTATCACAGCGTGATGTCAGAATCTATTTAAAACTTTTCACAAGTAAAATGGTCAGGTTAGAGCTGTTCTGGCATAAGCCAACATGATAACTACCGGGTAGTGGACAATTTATGGTTACTGCATTCAGAACAATTAGGAATTTATAATTTCTTAAATTGATAGACTTATTTCAAATTTCATAGAGGACTCACTTTTTGCATTTCCACGTCACCTCCAGAGGGCACTACTTATTGGAAATGTTTGTTGCTGTCATTCATAGACTACTGTTAAATACTTTATTTTAGCTGGAATTTATTTTCGCGAAATAGACTTTTTGGTATTTATTTTCACTGACTTTTGAAAAGTGGAATGTAAAATATCCGCGAAAATTAATTCCACGCGAAAATAAAGTATTCTACAGTAATTTTTTTAAGTTCTGATTTCCAAATCTGTACATAGTATCTAGATAATGACTATCCCCGTGTCAAGTTGTCGTCTAACTTGATACATTTGAGGCTGATTGTTACTTACTGTGGAATACTTTATTTTCGCTGGAATTAATTTTCGCTGAAAAGGCTTTTTGGGCGTTTCGCTTTGAATTTATTTTCACTGATTTTTTTATGAGATTAATGTGAAATATAGGAAAAAAAGTATATTCGCTGGAATTTATTTTCACAGAATCATCCCTTCAGCGAAAATAGTGAAATAAATTCCAAGCGAAAATAAAGTATTCTACAGTATTTGATTTTTGGACATTAACGTTTTTGTGCACACAGATTTGTGGTGCCAAATTGACTAAAATCCCCCCTCCTACAGAAATTGTTTTTTGAGTTTCTGTTACGAATTCATACCATCCATGACAAGTTTTGTACACAAATTAAAAATGTTTGTTTTGCATAATAATATATCTCTATATTATTATTTTTACAATATGCGGAACTTTGTACAATGTTTTTTGTTTTGTTTTTAAACATTTCTTTGTAGACATTTTAATGCACAATTTATGTATTCATATTATCTGGCCACAAATCCCACCAGTTAGTGTATTCAGATTCCCTGGCCTTGGATCCCACTGCTTCCATATACCAGTATATTCAGATTTTTGGGCCATAAATCAAACCAATAAATATTCACATAATTAGTCTGGTGACCAATCCCACTGCTGCCACCAAGCGAAAATAAAGTAATCTACAGTATTCAGAATCCCTGGTCATTAACCTCACTCTTGCAACTATTACAAGTTATAACCCACATACTTGAACAATTTTGTTCCATTATTTATAAATGCTGTGCAGAAATTATTTTTAAATAAATTTGTATTTAACAAATGTTGGTTAATGTTCATCTTATTTATTTGCCATTGTCACTCGTTGTAAAACTTTGATTTTTTGTTAACTTTATATTTGATGTAAATACTGAGTGAAAATGATCTGTGAGTAAAATGTTAGGATGGTCATGCTATTTTTGCAGATTTTTTGCATGCTTTTATAAATATATATATGAATAAAAAAAAAATGTCTTTTAAATGAGTAAACATAGTGTCTGTGAATTCAACTGGGATAAGTTGAATACAAAAAATATCATGCATTCTTGGCAAAACTATTAGACATATCAATAAATCCATCTTTTTATTGGCTTATTTTATCAGCATTTGCATGACCTCTGGAGGTTACACATCCTTGTATTTTGTGCATGACCTCTGGGGGTCACACATCCTGGTACTTTACATGACCTTTTGAGGTCACATATCCTGGTACTTTGCATGACCTCTGGAGGTCACACATCCTGGTACTTTGCATGACCTCTGGAGGTCACACATCCTGGTACTTTGCATGACCTCTGGAGGTCACACATTCTGGTTTAGGCCATTTTTTTATGTAAATTTAGTTTGAGACTTATCTGAATTCCCAGTATGAATTACTTCATCTTTCATTCATGTGCATGTTGAATAATTATCATCCAAAATGTGTATATAGATGAAATAGTGACCTTGATTTTTTTATTTCATATCCATCCAATAAACAAAGTCTTGAGTTATAGCATCATTAGTCGATTTCTGTGCAAGAATAGGAAGTTAATTCCCAGCTTGCAGAATTTATTCGCTGGTTTCCATAGTTCCCAGTGTTCTTATTGGCTATCGAATGTTTACACTGCAAAATTATAACACCTTAGCAGACAATTTTCTATGAACTAGTCTATTCAAAGACTGAATTCTGTATAGTTTGCCCAAGATGTAAAATTGTAGTCAATATAATTTTTGTTGGTTTGAATAAGGGACGACGTCAAAAGATCGATGTCGGATAAAAAAACTTAATTCCTTTAGTTTTTTTCCAAACCCCCCCCCTACCCCCCACTGAAACTTAATCGATAAATATTGGTCATGGCGTCAGACTACATTCACTATTAAATACAAATTGATAATCGGACAGTAGTATTGCATAGCAGTTGGTTGTTGGGTGGGTGTAAAAAGATTTTACAAATGCACCTCATTTGACGCACAGATTTACACTCGAACCAAACCATTTTTCTGTTTTTTCCCTTTTCGGTTATTTCTGTCCATGATTGGATAGAAAAAAAAAAAAACTACAAATACTCAAAGATTTTTTTGACTTCATTAAAAAATAAAATCGTTTTTGTAGGATGGAAACTTTTTGAGGTCAAAACCCCCCACCCCCAAACTAAAGGAAATACGTTTTTTATCCGACATCGATCTTTTGACGTCGTCCCTAAACAGAATATAAATTGCCTATTTAAATACTATGGTGTGATTTTAGTGCATTTAACAAACATATAAATTAAGTTTGCCAAAGATGTTCATTTGCAGGGCCGCAGTATTTGTTAGATGAAAAATCGACTATAATCTTGGATCTAGCACATTTGTAAGAGCATTTACCTTGTCTATATCATCGTAGATAAAAGTCAAGGTCTAGGAGAAGAAATATCTGTTATCGTTGCTGTTGTTGACTTCATTGTCAAACTATTTTTTGTGGGTACGATTCCTCAAGTAAGTCTAATTTATTTCAAACTTCGATAGTAACTAGTTTGAGATTTCAGCCAAGTTTAGTTTGTGTTCTATTTATATTTTTTTCAATATACACTGTAGCCTTGCTATAACGAACTCTTTGGGGGACAAACAATTAGTTTGTTATAGTGAAATGTTCACTATAATGAAGTACATAATACATTGGGTTTGTTGTGAGCGGGAGACATGTTATGTGTTCATTATATCAGGAAGTTCATTATAACGGTGTTCATTATACTGAGGTTAGTGTATTGGTTAAATTTCACTTACAATTGTCTTTTTCTTCTTTTCATTCAATTTTACAAACTTTAAGAATTAAATTTGCCAAAGTCAATTATTTGCAGAACCAACAGTATTTGTTAGATGGACAATTATATTGTAGTGATTGTTATTGTGTCTGGCAAAACAATCAGTTTATATGTGTTTTCATTGTTTAATCAAACAGATACCCAGATGTATGCTACAAGAATGAAGTTTTCGGTTCATAATATCCAATCCAATCGGTAACTATCATTTTACAGTGAACAAGAATACTAAAAATTACATGTTGTCGTTCATATTAAAGCGGGAGGGTCGTCACCTGTGCACGCACTGGAATTGAGTCCCACGCGATGAAAACAACACACGCTAAGAATGCAAAAGCTCATGGGTAGACGCTTGTTTGTAAACAATGACACGCTATGGCCAACTGACGCAAGCGCAGGTGACGACTCCCCCGATTTAACCGAAATAATGTTACAACACAATATTATATGCATGACTTGTATTAATTATTCAGATTCCCGACACTAGTATACGCCATTTGTGTCTTGTTTAATTGAATGATTATCGGTACTTAGATGCGTGCTACAAGAACAGAGTTTTTGGTTTATAGTAAATCATAGTCTGGTATCTACCGCGGTATATACAGTGAACATGTATACTAAAAATTACATGTTTACATCCATATTGCATTCTTAGTAACTTGAACAACCGAAATAATGCTACAACACGATATGATATGCATTACTTGTATTAATTATGTAACGGAACACATGTATGTTTATTGTTCAATGTTTTTAAAAAGCGTTACGTCAAAATTTAGGTCACGCAATAGTAGACGAACTGGGAATTTGAATTAAAACCTTTTATAGTATCTCCGAGTACAGCGAACATCATTTCTTTGGCCTTATTTCGGGTTTCTCTGAAAATAACACCCTTCTATTTGCACAGTGATCACGTGGTAACATTTTTTTGTTGAAATATTTTTTTCATATTATTTGAAAAATAAGCTTTCTAAAAATATATAACTTGATGTGATTCAAAGAATGTTACTTAAGAAATGTGCTATGCAATTGCAATAGCAAAAACCTCTGGTACATCATTAAAAAGTGTACTACGCGAATAATGAAAAAAAAAACAGACAAGAGACTAATCTTTTTCTTTTTTTATTTCTATTAAAACTATTTGCATATTTCTTGTCGAGCAGTAAAATAACAATAAGACGCTTTGACACAAATGGTCGTTGATAACGAGAGCCACAATAATCCTCTTTGCCATCTAAAGTGTTCCACCATCACATCCACTGACATATGTAACCAAGCTATCTGGTACAGTAAACAGAACAAGAGAATGAAATACTATTTGGAGCCAAAAAAAAAGTCATATTGCTCTCTCGCAGTCAGCGAGATTTTGGCGGCCATTTACAAGTGAAGTTTATTTGGCTCAAACTACTGGTATCTTACTGGTATCTTGCATGAAGTTAGGGGGTACATTGTACTCTACCGGGACTAGAAGCATACATTAATATATGATTATAATAAATATTTAAAGCGAAGGGATCGTCACCTGCCAATGCGTTTCCCAAGCAACGTTAACGCACTTCAAAAATGCGGAGGCTCATGGCACAGTCAGCTGGCGCACGCGTGATAATAAAAT